TTTCTTTGGCTCATTGAAATGTGGAGTTTGACCTTATTTTTAGTTGACGAGTTTAAAATTGCTCTCTGTTTCTGTTGTGATGTGCCATGTTGTATGTCGAGGCGGTGGTAGGTTGCAAAATCTTGTGTTGACTAGAGATATTAACGCCCTGATCAGCCTTATAGATAAAGGTATTCTTCATTCAAAAAATTATATCCAGGTTACAATATAAATACTGTCAATCAGTTTGACGAAACTGCACTTTACGTCGCATCATATTACGGCGATTTGGAGATTGTTGACGTTCTTCTCAGCAGGAACGCTGATCCTAATTTGTGAGTTATCAAACAAACCAAAATATGTGAATGACTATTTATTGTTGATTCTAGACCTACTGTAGAAGGAAATACGCCACTTCATTCAGCTGCCTTTAGGGGACATACAGATGTTATGAAGCAATTACTTTCACACGGAGCAGATGAAAGTTTAAAAAACAGTCTAGGTATGACCGCTTCTGACCTTCTTGAGTTCCATCAATCTGCTGAAAAGTGTACTAAGTTATATTACGATGAGAGACGCTTCTAAACTACCATGCCTCATAGGTGATTTATCAAAGTTGAAGGCTGAACAGAGCCCAAAATTAATAAAGTTAAACATTCGATCTGCTGAGAGACTTCGAAACAGATATGCAAAGAACAACTCAAAGTATATAACTTCATTTTGTTCGGTAATGATAATAAATTTGTCTTTTATCCGTTAATTACCTTTCAGTTCAACCTCGATCACCTACAGTTTCCTCGAGAATTTATTTCGTTCATACCTGTTTATCGTGTTTTTGGTTTGGAGCAGGATATGCCCATAGATTTTCGCCCCAATAAAGGAGGATTTTTCAACAGATATTGGTAAGAAATTTTGACTTATTCATAATGTTGGAAATTGTGGATTCACAACATAAACTACTAGTCCGTTTGTTTGATACAATGTTTCGTTAAGTCATGAAGTTGGTTAACTGAAGAATCATTGTCCTGAATCATTCGAATCGTAAATCAACAGGTCCTAACTGATATAGACCCTGTCAAAAATGTGCTTCGAATCAAATTTCTTCAAATCCGTGAAGAGAGATGAAATCAAGAAGTTAAGCAGCAGAGGAGTAAAACCAATCGTAGTATCAATGACAGAAACGAAAAAAAACAGTCAAGATTATGTTTTGAAAATGAAGAAATAAAACTGTAGGATAATAGTCGAACCAAAATTCAATAGAAGTTTGAAAATAGATACCTAGTCATCAATGTGATCTATTTGTAACTTTTTCAAAGAAAGAAATTTTCTAAATCGGTTTTATAAATAATAGTCGCGTCACATCAAGATTGTGGTTTGAACAGATACCCAATAATATGTCATTTTCTGTGCTTTTTAACGTGGCAGTACCTAGGTTTAAATATATCCATTAATCTGTTATCAGTTCTTAATGCTTGTAAGTTCAATGTAGTATAGAAATTTGACCCTACTGTTTTTCGGCTTTTCAAGATCGATTTTCATGTGTTATGTTTATCGTTTCAGCAGTAGTGACAGTATAGCCTAGAAGAGTAGTAAGTTGAACATCTGCTAGTATTAAAGATAAGCTTGGTGGTTTACAATTTCCGTGTCAAAAAAGCTTTGATGAAGTCATGGATAATCAAGTTGAAGTTCTACAAAGTCGATATTTGCGTAAAGCGTTTTTGTCGACCCTTATACTTTTCCTTCGGAAAATTTGTCCATGGCCTGTCTTTAAGTGTGCATTTTAAAGTGCAGTTATTGCATACAACAAGCGTACTAAGCATGCACGCACATAATTCTTTATTGGACAATCTTTGGAACATATTGTTTCCTGGAATATTCTCAGAGATTCGTGTGTATATTTTTACTGGAAGCTTTACTCAAAATACTTTTGTTTGCTTTGTTCAAATACATATCAAATTTCAAAGTTTTTCACTTATCCATAAGAGACGAGTGCTACTAGTTTGTTTAGTAATTTTAATTTAGAAAATGAAGACAGAGGCAACGAACTAGCGCAAATGAATCTTCGTAGTGAATAGTGTCTTAGGTCTGGCTTCGACAGTAAGTGAAAAACAGTATGGAAAAAATCTTTACTTAAAAGAGACGAAGAACCGTGTTTTAGCATCAACTGTCTTTTGTTTTATCAGTATTCTGAGAAGTTTTGTTCATCTTTGATTTTTATTTTGAATATATCTGACCATACATTATTACTTTAATTATATCCTGAACTATTTTTACTACTGTCTCTTCTTCAGTATTTTATCGGACTCATTGTTATGTTTTACGCAAGTACGGTTATTTAATTTACCAACATTATAGATTATTTATATATGACTTACATCTACCTACTCGTTAAACATTTGCATTAGTTGTCTGAATCTCCTCATTGATGTTTAGGACATTAATTGATCGTGTTCTTCTAACTTGTGCAATAATGTTTGTTTCAATAAGATTTATCTTGTTCATTTGCTCAAACTTGTAAAATCGATATTGAAAATGTTTCACTGAACATACATGTATAATAATTTAAATATCTACAAGATATTCTGGATAGAGGGATATGTGTCCTTAAAAAATTAGGCTTTTTCACGGGACAGGGATCAAAATGTTCATTTACTAGAGTCGTAAATCAATGGCTGAAGTACTCAGCATTTAGCCAGCTCAGTTCTGATTCAAATCTTGTCCCAAGCCGTTTCGTTTGAAAAGGCATCTAATACCACTATTTTCTATATTTTCTATATTTATATTCAGAATCTGATTTTATAAGCCTGTACATTTTAAGTGACTAACATCAATAAAATCCTGAGTAACGTAAACATAGACACTAGTAAGTAATCCACACATCAATATTACCAATATGAGTTAAGAATTCGAGAAAGGTATCCCTCGTATTATGGGTTCTAAAAGCCTGAAAAATATGTATACAGTAAGGACTCTTAACGATAACATCTTGAAGTAAATATCGTCAGTGGAGTGTATGTTGCTGTTGCCGTTAGGTTTAGGTCTGGTCTGGAAGTGCGCTGTTTTTGCATGATTGTATAAAGAAGCTTGTGCACGAAAACGTCGTATTATAATTACTTCCGTCCTCTCCTTAATTTTATTTTATGTTGATGTCGTAAATTTCTAGCGAAATAGTGACTGCTTTCTTTGTAGACGTTTAACATCAATAAGCATATCTTAAACAGCTTGATGAAGTATGTAATTCCCAGATTCATTGAAGTTAGATTACTTCAATTACAATCGTAATGTAAACATTCCTCGTAATATCCATTAAGGAACTTCTCAAAGATACATAGCATTACTAAGCTTTGAACTTAGGTGTAGTGATGCATGTTGATACGAAGCTTGTTGGTAATCTTAACTAAATGCTGACATAGTTATGAGATATAGTCCATATAACGTTTTTACTGATTCTAAATGTATGGTACAAATTAAGACAATTATCTAATTTATAATCAACTTGAATCATTATATAAATATATATTATGACTGCTAAGTATTAACCTCCTAATTACATAAACCCAGTCATGTGTGTTTATCCTGAACATATCTCATTTATAACGAACTACATTTTATGTCTAACTACTCGTACTAATCTTACTAACCATAACGGTTTTGAAAATGATTATTTCTGGGTGTAATGAGCAAAACATACTACCAAGAGATGATTGAACAAACGAAATGCTCTCAGTTATCATGGTCAAATAATTTAGATTATCAGACAAGTATTACTTCATACAACTAAAATTCTACTGTTTCTTTCTTCGGACCGGTAAATAAAAGGATTTAACAAAAAAGTTAAACTATGTAATCGTTTATGCCTAAATTTATACTTAGAATCTGATTTTATAAGCCTGTACATTTTAAGTGACTAACATCAATAAAATCCTGGGTAACGTAAACATAGACACTAGTAAGTAATCCACACATCAATATTATCAATATGAGTTAAGAATTCGAGAAAGGTACCCCTCGTATTATGGGTTCTAAAAGCCTGGAAAATATATACACAGTGAGGACTCTTAACGATAACATCTTGAAGTAAATATCGTCAGTGGAGTGTATGCTGCTGTTGCCGTTAGGTTTAGGTCTGGTCTGGAAGTGCGCTGTTTTTGCATGATTGTATAAAGAAGCTTGTGCACGAAAACTTGGTATTATAATTACTTCTGTCCTCTCCTTAATTTTATTTTATGTTGATGTCGTAAATTTCTAGCGAAATAGTGACTGCTTTCTTTGTAGACGTTTAACATCATAAGCATATCTTAAACAGCTTGATGAAGTATGTTATTCCCAGATTCATTGAAGTTAGGTGTAGTGATGCATGTTGATACGAAGATTGTTGGTAAGCTTAACTAAATACCGACATAGTTATGATATATAGTCCATATAACGTTTTTACTGATTCTAAATGTATGGTACAAATTATGACAACTATCTGATTTATAATCAACTTGAATCATTATATAAATATATATTATGACTGCTAAGTATTAACCTCCTAATTACATAAACCCAGTCATGTGTGTTTATCCTGAACATATCTCATTTATAACGAACTACATTTTATGTCTAACTACTCGTACTAATCTTACTAACCATAACGGTTTTGAAAATGATTATTTCTGGGTGTAATGAGCAAAACATACTACCAAGAGATGATTGAACAAACGAAATGCTCTCAGTTATCATGGTCAAATAATTTAGATTATCAGACAAGTATTACTTCATACAACTAAAATTCTACTGTTTCTTTCTTCGGACCGGTAAATAAAAGGATTTAACAAAAAAGTTAAACTATGTAATCGTTTATGCCTAAATTTAAGAAAAAAAGCAAATGAATAACCAGTTGACGTAATTTGTAAATATCAGATAATCCATCAATAGTAGTGGAGAAACAAAATTCAACACAATAATAGTATCCCTTATTTGATGCCTATTTATTTTAACTAAGCCTTTATTAGGTAGCATAGATTTTTAGAGTACAAATGATACTTACAAAGTTATTGAGGTAATAATTCAATGGAACATTACGTTACAAGAATCATGACGTAACAATAGATAGCAGTATGGATTGTAGTAGTAAAATGACTCAGAAACAAAGGATGTGGTTATGATTCGATGACGACATCTATTGCTTATTCTCAACTGTTTTTCATACTTAGCAAACAATGGTTTGGAATATCTGTTCTCTTGAATCAACTTAATCCAGATAAGATACAGTCGTTTGATATGAAAAGTAAAACGGTTATGAGAAATTTAATTATCCGAGAATTGGAAGTAATCAGGTTAGTTTCACGTTGATCAATATCAACTACCCTGTGTTTTAATTTATACTGTTTTATATCATTCTATGCTTAGGATAAACGGGTTGATGATTATCAACAGTTGCGAAACGTAGCTTAAGGTGTCACTATTGGGTTGCTGAATTCCGATGATAGTTATGTTATTTAGGTTATTAAGTGCATCGTTTTACTTGTGTGAAGTTAGATAACTTGGGAGTAAAACTTGCGAGTGACTAAGTAGTCTGAGAAAATCCATTTTGTTTCCTCCTAATCAACTGGGAAGTGCCCTTTGTTTCGATCCGATATTTAGATTTTTCACTTGACTGAACTAGTAATATCAGATTATTTCGTCAGAGATTGAATCATTTTCGGCCTGAATGGCCTTGAAAATGTTTGTACTTGGTCAAGTACTAGAATGCTGATATACACAAGAATGTAATTCATGCCTTATGATCACTAGCGAAAACGCTTCAGAACATGTTATTCTTGATAGATATTGTTTGAGTTATTTAGCTTTGAACAATGGATCAGCAAAGAATGTGCAACAGTGAGAGTTGAAACACTTTGGATTAGTTATATCGGTAGTGTAGCGGTAAATAAATCCCCAAAATAAATAGCTCTGTAGGTTTTCGACATGGGACGCTGACCACATTAGTTTTAATGGACTTATCTAGCTGAAGGCGCTCGGTTACGCATCAGCACCAGATCACGTGTGGGAACGCCGTGCTGAACATCTACCGCAATCGCTAGCCATATTAGTTCAGACGATCCTCGATACATTGATAGCTTATCAAATATATCTTCGAACCTCCTCGCTTCTGCATTTTGATTTTATTCGGTGGGTACGACTCATATTAGAAGGTGTTACTGGTTAAAGTGTTGTCAAACTCCGAATACCTGTGGCATCCTCAGTAGAATATCAATGGAAGAAGTCGTCAATAAGTGAGAGTGATCAATATCAATGACAGAGAATAAATGAATCTTATGAAATGATGACTAACTATTAGTAAAATACAAAAGTTTTCATTCATCAAAGGCTATTTCTTTATGGAACAAATGGCAGGCATTTTTGAAATTACTCATAATGCTCCACTGTATAATTATAATCAGATGTCAATGAACCATAAATTCAAATTTCCAGTTTTGTGGTACAACTGCTCTTTGAGAACTTGAGATGCTACAATTATGATTGCATCCGGTTGTCTTAGCTAAAATAAACAGAGTCGGGGGGTATGAGATCCAACCCAGTAGTTGGCAACCAGTGTTTGCTTTTGCCACGAACACACTTCTCTATTGAATCTGAATATAGAGTGTGAAGAGTAACAGTTCATATCTATATTGTCATTCATTATTTAATACATTTAACTGAAATACTAAAATGTCTGAGCTCATCATAATATTGCAAAAATTATTAAATGATTTTCATGGGAAACCCATACACAGGTTTGGTTATTATTTCTTTGTCATATAAATGAATCAATGAGTTGCTTTTTATTCTACTATTGTTTTTAATCTAACTTTTCTTAGCCATATACATCATCCAAATATCATCAATCTATTGTCTATAGTATACAATATTCCTCAAGAATCACGTGACCGATCAATAAATCCTGATAATTTGGCTTTGGTATATGAACGTCCCTCCATGGGTACTATGTATGAGTATATTCAAGAGAATGTAAGTTAACTAAAAAATTATTACGTCTTATGTCGGTTTAACTGAAAATAAATAATTTACTCCTGTGGTTTCAATCAGCAGTCATTGAACTGTTTGAAACTGACAAAAGTTCATTCCGAATAAATGAATAGAATAGATAATATGGCATGAAGATGGATATAAATGTTGGTAATTAGTATCAATAGTTTCCGAATTATTCGATATTTAGCATTGAGTTCGTCTCGAAATTACTTGTCAACTTATACATAAATATATGCCATGGATATGTATTGTGTGCTTTAGGTAATATATGGTTTGAGATGATTTACACAACAAATTATGTATTGACTTACAACTACAATCCTATCTATAATACCAACTTTGTGTGAATACAATCAAATCTTGTCTAGACTCCACCAAAGACGTTCAAGTCTCCTGATGATAACTTTGTAACAAATAAAGAATAAAACTGATTAGCTACTGTGCTTTTGAGGATGTAAGATTTTTTAATACTTTGAATAAACTTGGTTTGGATTTGAGATATCTATATTGATTTGCCCCGTTTTTAGACTGAATTAAACATAATGTGAGGACTGAAAACTGCCGTTTCATCATCAGTCCTGAATAAAATGTGATTCAGCTCGAATGGAACAAAATAATACATCATCCGCAGAAATTCATAGAAGAGTGTAAGAATAGTTGTTGAGATATGCTTCAACCATAATATAATTTAGTAACCAAGCTAAGGTTAATGTATATTTAGCTGTGAGCCACACGTCCTAATATCCTTGATACAGATATTAGAAAAACATAAGTTGGTGAAATGCATTTTGAACATAATAACTAATTTCATTATTGTTAAGGATCTAAATGATCTCATTATTGATATTCAGGATTGCATTTCGCCAGGTCTTTGTTGGTATTCGTGCATTCTGTGTAGATTGCTTTGATATATATATGTTGTCACAAGTTTTCATGGAATAGATAAATTCTATCTAGCATTGGGATCCAGGATGTAGATCTTGTTTTATTTGGGATAAATCAATCGGATGTACTTGTTGTCGTTGACATTTGGACCATACTAACATTTATAATGCATTTATTTCTGGACCACATGCTTGAGATTATCATGTTTTCACTGTTACTATCATTGTTTTGTATTCTAAATGATTGAACTTTATTAGAACTATATAGATGTATGATTAACATATATATATCAGGATAGATTTTTGTAGGTATTTTAGTAATTTCAATAGTTGAGATCACAAGTCTAGTTTAGTTAGACCACCATGGAAAACCTGGAAGCACTGGACGGCCGTTTCGTGCTATTGTGGAACTCCTCAGCAGTGTACATAATCTCCACAGAAAAGCTGTCACTAATATAAATCTGAACAGTAGAATGACCCCTAAAACCCCAAGTACGATCGAGGTTGGTGGAGTGTCTTCTCTTCGTCTTGAACTGATCTCATAAGCACGGCCAGGGATGTACTACACACTACCTTCTCGTGAACAGGGTGTTTCTCACGAAATTGAGAGAACAAAAAGCAAATATCCGGCGCTTTAACTTACCTACTTATTTACGCCTGTTACTCCCAATGGAGCATAAGCCGCCGACCAGCATTCTCCAACCCACTCTGTCCTGGGCCTTCTTTTCTAGTTCCGTCCAATTCTTGTTCATTTTTCTCATGTCTATCTCCATTTGCCGGCGTAATGTGTTCTTTGGTTTTCCTCTCCTCCTTCGACCTTGAGGATTCCATGTGAGAGCTTGTCTCGTGACGCAGTTCGATGCTTTCCTTAATGTGTGTCCTATCTACTTCCAACGCTTCTTCCTGATTTCTTCCTCCACTGGGATCTGATTTGTTCTCTCCCACCATAGGTTGTTGCTAATAGTGTCCGGTCAACGAATCCGAAGTATTTTGCGCAAACAACTGTTAATAAACACTTCTATCTTCTGGATGATGACTTTCGTAGTTTTCCAGGTTCCCACCCCATACAGTAGAACTGTCTTGACATTTGTATTGAAAATCCTGACTTTGGTGTTGGTTGCCAATTGTTTTGAGTTCCAGATATTCTTCAGTTGTAAATATGCTGCTCTTGATTTGCCGATCCGTGCCTTCCCATCTGCATCTGATCCACCGTGTTCATCGATGTTACTGCCCAAATATGTAAAGGTTTGTACATCTTCCAAAGCTTCTCCGTCAATTGTGATTGGATTGTTGCATGCTTTGTTGTATCGGAGAATCTTGCTTTTTCCCTTTGTGTATATTGAGACCTATTGCTGCTGCTGTTACAGTGGTCGTCTTCTCCTGCATTTGTTGTTGTGTGTGCGATAGAAGAGCCAGATCATCTGCGAAGTGTAGATCATCCAACTGCATCCTATCTGTCCACTGTATCCCGTGCTTCCCTTCAGATTTTGACGTCTTCATGATCCAGTCGATCACCAGGTGAAACAGAAAGGATGAGAGTAAGCAAGCTTGCCTCACACCGGTCTTTACTTCGAAGGAGTTTGTCAACTGTCCTCCATGAACGATTTTGCAGTTTAATCCATCATAGGAATTCCGTATAATATTGACTATCTTCTCAGGCACGCCATAGTGTCGGAGTGCTTTAACTGGTTTGGCAGATATAAAGTATCCATCTAGAGCAGTTGGAAAACTCTCATTCCAAACCAATGATGCACATGAATTTCATGATTCTGAAGGAACAATTAGTGTATAAGTTTTTTGCTGGCCACCGACTTCCATAGGACTTCATCTCCTAACATTGCTCCACTACCTTATGGATCAGAGTTCCAAGTCAACGGCTTGGAAAGTGGCCTACTATGAAAACTACCTGCTTCTATCTAGACACTCAGACAGTATCCCAGCCCACACGCATATATATATATATATATATATATATATATATATATATAAATCAAGTGACTTGTGTGATGCATATGTATTCAGTGCCTCTTTATACCAATATTTTTATATGTTCAATTAAATAAATGAACAGTAAGATGACACTGATGTCATTCAACTGATAACACCTTTCTAATGATAACATTCATTTATTGTTTTCTTTTGTTTTTAAGAAAAAAACAAAAGAAAATCAACGAGTGATATTTTCACATGAATTAAATTTCTTTTAATTTTCTTTTCTTCCTTTTTTTTTTTCGTTTCTTCTCAATAAAATCTATTAATATCCTCAGTTTAATTATATATAAATCTGATTAATAATATTCATGACGAGTGTTCAACGAAACCATCATTATTATTATGAGTGTAACTCATCTAAACAGACGATTCAATGAACGAATGTTTTATTTATTTATTTCTTTTTTTAAATCTTTTTTTTACCTGATTTTAATTTGATTCAACCTATTTTGGTTTAGTTATACATACATACATACATACATACATACACACATTCACATGTACGCACGCATACACATACACATTTACACACACTTATATATATATATACATGTGTGTGTGTGTACATCTTGAGAAAATGTTATTTTTTTTAAAACTACATAAACAATTTTCCTATTAGTATCAGAAGGGGGGTTTTGTGGAGATTGTAATAACTGTAATAATATATACATAAAAAGTTAAAAGAATATGGTGAATAGTGATCTTATGGATAAATCAATTTTAACATCAAAGTTACTATATTTCTATATTTGTTTTTTTTTATATTTTTAAAAACATAATGTCTATATAATAATGAATGTTATAGTAGATATTGATTATACCTAGAGTACCATTGAATATTAAATAATGTTTTCGTCTTGATATAGAACTTATCGATAGTGTGTATGGTAAAGATTTCGTGGATTAGTTGAAGTTAGACATTAACACCGTTGGATGCCGGCTCAGTGGTCTAGTGGTTAAGTGCTCGCGCGCGAAACCAGTAGGTCCTGGGTTCGAATCTCGCAGGGGGCGAGGTCGTGGATGCGCACTGCTGAGGAGTCCCATAATAGGACGAAACGGCCGTCCAGTGCTTCTAGGTTTTCCATGGTGGTCTAGCTTCAACTGACTCATGATCTTAATCATTGAAATTACTACAATCTCCACAAAACCCCTTCTGATAATTTTAACATTTCATTTGAATGTCTAGACTATAATTAACATTTTAATATATTGGTTATATGCTTGATTGAGATTGATTTTAACTAGAGTATTATTGATAATTGAAGAGTACTAGATAATATTTTTATCTTGATATGAAACTTATTAGTAGTATATAGTAAGAGCTTGAATAGATATATGAAGTACTAGTAGTTAAATTAGTCTGATTGATGAAAACAAATTTATTTATTTATTTATTTGAACACATAGATATTGATATAAGGAGGCACCAAATACATATGTGCCACACAAATCTTATTTGATATATATAAGGGCTGTGATACTGCCCAAGTGTCCAAACCGAAGCAGGTGGTTTTCTTAGGGGGCCATACCCAGAGGTTTCAACCTGAACGTCTGATCCACAAGGCAGTGGAGTATCGTAAGGAGATACAGTCTCATGGTAGCCGGTGATCAACGATTGGTTCATACGCCATTTGTTCCTTCAGGATACTAGAGCCCATGTAAACTATTGGCTTGTAATCAGAGTTTTCCAACTCCTCTAGATGGATTCTCTATATCTACCGACCCGGTTATAGCGCCGAATATTCGCTTTTTATCCTCTCACTTTCATAAACAACACCCTTGCTGTGAGAAGGTAACGAGTAGGACTTCCCTGTTAGTGGCTGTATACGCGTGGCCATGTGAGAGTATTTCGAGTGGGAGAGCGGAGTCTCCCCACTCTTGGACATACCAGGGCATTTGGGGGCGATGAAAACGAAAACGAAAGTGATTAGACATTGAGGGCATGAATACAGAACAAAAGAATGAATTGAAGGAATAAAAAATGCAAAATAATTTTAAAACATAATATCCAACAGTAAATAAAGAGTGAATGTAATTCAATAATTGAATTTATGTGTCAGTTAAATTTAGACCATTATGGAAAACCTGGAAGCACTGGACTCCTCAGCAGTGTGCATCCACGATCCTGCCTCGAGAGATTGGAAACTATCAGTCTCGCGCTCTAACGCTTAACTTTTAACCACTGAGCCGAATAATTTTCGTGAATTTCTTTTCTGTTAGTCTGTTTGTTCATTTTTCTCTTCATACGGATAAAGTAAACTAAGGCTCAATTATCATGTGTTAATGCATTGCGATAAGACAACAAGAAGGTTCTGGATTCGAATCCCGCGAGTGAGATAGTGGATGTTTACTGTTGAGAAGTCCCATAATAGGACGAAGCGGCCATCCAGTGCTTCCAGGTTTTCCATGATGGTCATTTGACTGATGATTTCAATGTAAAAATTAATAATCTTCACAACCCCTTACTGACAATTAGTAATTTAATTTGAAATGAACACGACGTCAAATAGTAATCCTATCTATTAATAGCTCTACATAAGGATAGAAATGGTTGATTACACTAGTAAAGTGTAATATGTATGTTGAGGCAAAATAGTCAAACTTTTTGATTTGATACATTAACCTCTTAATAGATTGATTGAATATTTTTAAACATTTATTTTCTGAAAATATTAATAAATGCCCTGGTACAGCCGAGAGTGGGGAGAGTCCGCTTTCCCTCTCGAAATGTTCTCACATGGCCATGCGTATATAGCCTCTGTCAGGGAAGTCCTACTCACTGCCTTCTCGCATCACGGGTGTTGTTTACGAAAATGAAAGGACGAAAAGCGAATGTCCGGCGCTATAACCGGATCCCAAGCCAACGGTGCACATGGACTCCAGTATCCTGAGTGAACAAATGGCGAATGAACCAATCGTTGATCACCGGCTACCATGGGACTGCATCTCCTTACGATGCTGCAATACCTTGTGGATCAGACGTCTAGGTCGGAGGCTCTGGGTGTGGCCCCCTAAGAAAACCACCTGCTTTGGTTTGAGCACTTGGGCAGTATCGCAGCCTTCGCACAAATCAAATGAGATTTGTGTGGCGCATATGTATTTGGTGCCTCCTTGTACCAATATATATGTGTTAAAATAAAATAAAAATAATTTCACTGTTTATGGGGATTTTCAACAACTCAAACTTGATGTTATTGAGATAAAGAGAAATTAATTATTTGAGACTCTAAAGAGTTATTAGTTAAACACTGATTTTATAATTATTATTCCATGTTTTTCATTTTCTTGTTGGTATTGTTATTGTCTTCTTTTTTCTTGTGTCTATCTGATGATGTTTTTTGTCCATTGTGCTAATGTGAACAGTGTAGATGTTGACTTATACACTTTTATAACAAGTCATAGTTTGACTAGATTTCTCAGTTAGCTATATCAGTATTTAAAGAAGGAAATAATGATGTACTGTAAAGTTGAAAGTCACCTTTCTGTGTTTAATGGTCAGGTAGAAAACATTTAGCGATAATAACTTTTTCAAAACTGATTAAAGTCAGCATTCGTTGTTTTAAACGCCCCTTCGATGTTTACAGTGTATAGAATATCAATTAAATATCTAGTCACCTAAACTTTGAACACTATTCTCACTCAGGCGCAACGTTCGAGGACTAAGTTCAGTAAATTCTATAGATTTTATTCTTTTATTCCTTATCCATGTATCGTTTCCACAAGTGCATATACATTCAAAAATGCACTTGTAGATGAAAACAGAAGGATATTGCTCTACTTCTGATTGGTTTAAGGAAGATTTGGTATTAAATATTAAAAACGTTGGACTTCATAGAAGCTTGGTTTTACTGCTGCTTTATTCGTTTTACCTATTCTACCTGAAACCTCATCCTCTTTGAATGCAAGATCGATAAGGATGAGCTTTTTTCATAATGATTGTTGGTTTTTAGGACATTCCCCAGTTCATCGTAATAAATTTTCTCAGATATCGATTTTTCATAAGATATTTTCCAATGTTCAACATCTACTCATTTTGTCGATTGAACACAGTCTTCTAGGCATGTTAAATAGGGTTTTGACTAAGTAGAGTTTATAACTTTTGAGACAAAAACTATTTTACTTTAAATATAACGTTGGCAATAACCTCGGAGATACATTGACAATTTATGAATATGAATTATGCGTCTTGTTGGTATTGCCAGTTTAACAAAGCAAATGAAAATATCAAATATATGATGGAATATAAACTAAATAAATAATAAAACTCTCCAGATATAAACATGAAACATGCGAAAGATGGATTAAGTCTGATATCGAACGAAACGCTCGTCCTGGATTCCATTGCTAGCCACATCCTATCTATTCTATGCCATAATAATTTTATCAAAATAATCTTCACAGAATGGATGTATGCCAACTAAGCCTGATCAAATTTCAGTCAAAATATCAACAACGAGATAGTTTATACACAGTATGACCAACAGTTTATTACTTTAACTTTTCAGTGGTTCACCAACTGAATTTAAATAATATGATTTTCTTGATTAGTATTATATTTGATAATAACTATGAAGCTTATGAATACTACAATGTAACACAATTGTATTCAATGTCACCTATAACATATTATATGTAAAGTTGGATAGTGGCTAGCAGTGGGATCCAAAACGCTCGCCACTTCATCCTATTTGGGACTCATCAGCTGAATGTACCTGCATCTCAGATTTGATGTTCACTCTGGGACTCCAACCCAGTTTCGTTCGCTTCAAACACCATAGCATTATCCACTTAGATATTGAGTCCTGATAGCCACTTGCTTGTGCAATGGGATGATGTTTAAATTCACTTGCTATTGTTTCTTTGAATCTTCCTATTGATGTTGAGGACTGTAATTGATCATTCTCTTATTGGCATATATGCATACTGTGTATATTGCCTCAATATAGTCTTAATTCACAAGCATTATATATTTACTGTTGCCCATTTTTGGCATTAGATAAATATTGTTTTCTTTTTTGTATTATTCTAGAAAAATACTTTGTCCACATTATCAGCTCTTATTATTTCATGTCAAATATCTGAAGCTTTAATATTTCTACATTCATCTGGTATTGTACATTGTGGTGTTACACCGCATGCCATATATTTTTATGCAGAGGATCGAGTGAAATTAGGCAATTTTGAATATAGTCAGTTTATTGAGTAAGTGTTTAGTGTTTATTTTGTTTTTTATGATTATACCGATTGATAAGATTTATCAATTAGTTAATTAGTCTAATTGTAATTAATGTCTTATAAGAGAAGTGGTTTATTTCTAATCATATGGGTAGACAGAACAATAATTTTGTGGTCGATACGTGAACTATAGAGATTGTTGAATTATATTGAAATTATAAGTGAAGTTCAACTGAGTCACATGTGATGAATATGTCTTGTAAAGACAATGAAAGATGGTCGCGTAATATCAAGGACTGATTACATTTAGACATGCATGATATTGTGTTTCAACTCAATGGTCTAGAAGCTAAATATTAACAAGCAAAACCGACGGTTCTTAGTTCAATCTCTTGTGTCAGGATCGCAAACGCTCTTCCAAAGTGTTAGTGATTGTCTAACTCAGATTGTTTCGTGATGTAGGTCTGTTGATTTTATAGAAAATTTCAGATATTGTAAACAACCTTTTTCCTTTAATATTTCTAGAATCTTTGAGAATCAAAGAAATGAAGATAGATATCATTCAAATGGCTCATCAATTCGTAAATCAAAGTCTTATTATCACCATGATCAGCATAATTATACATTTTTCAAAGACAACCATCATCAACATCAGTTACCTTCAATATATAATCTACTTCTTGGAATTTATTATTTACCAGCTAATTATTTAACTGATTGGTTACCAATTGAATTATATAATTCATCTAATCAATTATTTCATTATGATCATTTTACTGATATTTTACAATCTGTATCATTAGATGAAATTAATCAAATTATTAGACCTTGTACAACTAGTGATGTATATTCATTAGCTAAATTAATTCAATTTATGCTACCTTCAATTAAACAAATCACAGAGAATACTGATATTTATTCATTTAATACACCTAATAATTTATTTGCATTGATTTATTCAGCATTAAAGATCAAATCAGATGAACGTATATCAATGAGACAATTCAACAGACTATTGATACATTTATATTGGGTAAGTTTGTTTCTCAATGAATGTTTGATTACTATTATTTGAGTTGTATTATTATTACATAAAATTAGACCCTGAGAGTTTTAAGTGCTTCTATGAAACTCATCGGGCTCCACACCTTGATCTCTCAAATACCCTGGTATCGTTGAGGGTGGGTAGAGTACACACTCTCTCTCTCTCTCGAAATATCCTTACATGACCAAGCATATAAAGCCCCTGACAGAGTAGTCCTACTCGTTAAATTCTCACAACAAGAGTGTTGTTTACGAAGTCGAGAGGATAAAAAGCGAATATTTAGAGCTATTACCGGGTTGGTGGATAGAGAGAATCTATCTAGGAGAGTTGGGAAACCTTGACTCTAAACCAATGGTGTACATGGGCTCCAGTATCCTGAAGGAAGTGGTACAGGTTTCCCTACCAACATTTATACATAGCAGTCTATAAATTGTTGTTAAAATGTTTAATTACTATGAATTACACATATACAACTTAAATCTAAAACTACTTATTAATATTTAAAAATGTAATGCAATGACAATCAAACGACCATTTCTCTGAAATGTTTGAATACTTATTGAATTCGTGATCTTGAAATATCTACATGAAATTGTGAGTTGTAAGTAGCAACTGAATGACATGGTATCCAAGTATTTATTCAAATTTGCAAACATAAATATTATACTTGAATTTTATACAGAACAGGTATTCATCGGTATGATATTGAAATGTTGAGTACTGGCTCATTTGAGTTCCATGCAAATAGTTTCCTGTATCCTCTTAAAGACAATAAGAACAAAGAATAAAGTAGTATCACATGAATTCATTTTATTTCGTCTAGTATACGTGATTTACTTACAGCCTGTAATATTTAATGATCATAATTAAAAAAATGAGTGCAAACTACTTATATAAATAACTTTAGTTGGAAGTTGTTGTAATGACACAACAGTATGGTATAGTGAAGATGTAAACAAACTTAATAGACTAAATATAATATTACTCTCGCCCTTCCGGGTGATTATTTCGATTATGAAGATCTCTACATCTCAGGGGAAGTACAGAATATAGTGGACTGCTTGGATGCAGCTAGACAATTTGGACTTTGCAAATGACTTAGTTTTTCTATTCCATACGCGGTAACAAATGCAAGTGAAAATAGCCAGTGTAACAGTAGACTATGCATAAGGGAAAAAGCAAGATCCTCAAGTGCAACACGGAAAGCTATGTCATTCAGCTGCTACTAATAACTCACAATTTCATGTAGATATTTCAAGATCACGAATTCAATAAGTATTCAAGCATTTCAGAGAAATGATCGTTTGATTGTCCGTGCATTAAATCTGTAAATATCAATAAGTAGTTTTAGATCTATTTAAGTTGTATATGTATAATTCATAGTAATTGAACATTTTAACAACAATTGATAGACTACTATGTATCAATGTTGATAGGGAAATCTGTACCACATTTAAATGAGCATGGTAACAAGAATTTCAAAACGGAAAACAATAGAGCTCGTAAAATTTCAGTCATGCTTTAAGAACCTTGATGTTTTTGTCAACTAGTCTTATGGAATTTCTTACTTTTCGAAGATTAATAATGTCTAATTTTAAATAAGAGTATATTTGAAATGATTTCGAATATTTACAGTTTAAGATGAGGATTATTAATTCTGTTTTAGTCTCTGAGTTGATTGATTTTAGTTGTTAAGCTTTTATTATCTATCTGAATGATATAATCAGCATATATCTCAAATAGCTTATTTTTCTTTGATCTACATATTGATGATATTATTCAAATGGAAAGTGAAAGCTTAACGGTTAAATCAATCAACCAACTAACTTATGAACTGTTATATCAACAAAGGCATATTCATATCAGATGGATTTTGTGGATATTATAGTAATTTCAATGGTTAAGATCATGAGTCAGTTCAAGCTAGACCACCATGGAAAACCTGGAAGCACTGGTCTAGCTTCAACTGACTCATGATATTAACCATTGAAAGGCATATTCATTTCACTTAATTACAAACTACATTCTATGCATTTGTACTAAATAATTTTGTTATCAACTATTTCTTTATTTCTATAATAAATAAATAAATCATAATAATAAAGGTTATTGTTTGGTCATACCAACCTATTCCATTCACATGGTTCATATCATTAATTACCGATTGTATCATTAAAAGCATAAAAGTCTATTGTACTAATGCCTAAGGTAACACTGTGAACACAATGATATCTTGTATTTACTGTTGTATTACATTTGTAATTATTGATACCGATAAGATAAATAATTCGAAGGGGACAATAGAATGTTATCAATTCAATTTTTCCAACATTTCCATAGGTAGTGTATACACAAAATAATAAATGATGGAAGGGTGATAAGGAGTTGCAGATAGCTAAAATCCATTGTTGCCTTATGTTAGTAACTGGCAGTATGAATACTGATATAACATAGTGACAATATCAACATGTTGAATTTACTTCCTTTAAGTTTCCCATTGAATATCGAGACAAGTTCGAAATAGTACAATATGTGCTGACCTAATTACCTACAAGTTACAATAGTTTATAATATCATTTTCCCCTCCATTTCTAGTCTAGTTGACCTTTTACTTTTTTTACATATAAGTGTTCTTAATAAGTATCTGTTAATCAGTATTAGAAGGGGTTTTTGTGGAGATTGTAGTAATTTCAGTAGTTGAGATCATGAGTCAGGTTTTCCCACGGTGGTCTAGCTACGATTGACTCATGATCTCAACTATTGAAATATGTTTGATCAGATTGTTCAAAATGTATGGCGCTAATAGTTCTGATAATCTTCGTCTTCTTATTACACTATCGAAAGTTATCAAAGGGATTAATTGCTTTAAATTAACAATATAAATTAATAAGGTTATTTTATATACGATAGTTGAAATCTGGGTGTGATATAGTTCTGTTTGTGAAAACCAGGAGAGGAGCGAACATAGCTTCAGATCACCACCTGGTTGTGGCCAATTTAAAACTGAAGCTAAAGAAGAACTGGACAACTGGACAAACAGCACCACAAAGGTTCTAAAAAGCCTTCCTTCGAGATACTGACAAACTCAATTAATTCAAGGTAGCTCTCAACAACAGGTTCCAAGCCTTACAGGATCTACTGAAGGAAGAAGAAACTACTATGGAGGATAGCTGGAAAGGTATCAAAGAAGCATTAACTTCAACGTGTCAAGAGGTTCTGGGCCCCAAGAAGCATCATCACAAGGATTGGAACTCTATAGAAACACTAGATAGGATCAAAAAAAGGAAGATCAAGAAGACAGCAATTAACAACAGTTGAACACGAGCAGAGAAAGTCCAAGCACAAGCTGAATACATAAAAGCAAACAAGAAAGTGAAGAAGAGCATTAGAGCCGACAAGCAGAAATACGTGGAAGAACTAGCAACGACGGCGGAAAATGCTGCAAGAGAAAGAAATATGAAACAGCTTTACGATACAACGAAGAAACTAGCAGGGAAATACAGTAAACCAGAGAGACCAGTCAAAGATAAAGAATGAAGACCAATCACTGAGATTCAACAACAGCGGATCAGATGGGCAGAGTACTTTGAGGAACTCCTGAATAGGCCGGCTCCAATGAATCCACCGGACATCGAAGCAGCACATACAGATCTTGTAGATGTCAATCCACTAACGACCGAAGAAATCAGAATGGCCATCAGACAAAACAAGAGCGGGAAAGCAGCAGGACCTGACAATATACCAGCTGAAGCGTTGAAGTCAGATATCGAAGTAACTACGAACATGCTTCATCTTCTATTCAAGAAGATTTGGGAGGAGGAATAAGTGCCGATGGACTGGAAGGAAGGACACCTCATCAAAATTTCAAAGAAAGGAGACCTGAGCAAGTGTGAAAACTACAGAGGCATTACACTACTGTCAATATCAGGAAAAGTACTTAACAGAGTGTTACTGAACAGGATGAAAGACGCAGTTGACGCTCAACTTCGAGATCAACAAGCTGGATTCCGTAAGGACCGGTCGTGCACAGACCAGATTGCGACACTACGGATCATCGTCGAACAATCAATTGAGTGGAACTCGTCACTCTACATCAGCTTCATTGATTATGAGAAGGCATTTGACAGTGTAGATAGGAGGACGTTATGGAAACTTCTTCGACACTACGGAGTTCCTGAGAAGATAGTCAACATTATCCGGAACTCATACGACAGACTACAATGCAAAGTAGTGCATGTAGGACAGCTGACAGAGGCATTCCAAGTAAGGACCGGAGTCAGACAAGGCTGTCTACTCTCTCCCTTCCCCTTCTGGTGGTCGACTGGATTATGAAGATCTAGACATCTGAGGGAAAACATGGCATACAATGGACAGCTCAGAACCAATTAGACGATTTGGACTTCGCAGATGAACTAGCCCTCCTGTCGCATACACATGAACAAATGCAGATAAAAACAACCAGCATAGCAGCAGTCTCTGCATCAGTAGGCCTCAACATACACAAAGGGAAAAACCAAGGTCCTCAAACACAACACGGAGAACAACAATTCAATCACTCTTGATGGCGAAACTGGAAGATGTGGAATCTTTCACATACGTGCGAAGCATCGTCGATAAACAAGGAGGGTCAGATGCAGACGTCAAGACGAGGATTGGCAAAGCAAGCGCGGCATTCTTTCAATTGAAGAACATATGGAACTCAAAACAACTTTCAACCAATATCAAAGTCACAATCTTCAATACGAACGTCAAAGCAGTTCTACTGTACGGAGCTGAAACTTGGAGAACTACAACAACCATCATCAAGAAAGTACAAGTATTTATAAATAGCTATCTACGCATGATACTCAACATCCATTGGCCGGATATCATAAGCAACAGCCTTCTGTGGGAGAGAATAAACCAGCTTCCAGCTGAGGAGGAAATTAGGAAAAGACGATGGAAATGGATAGGACATACATTACACAAATCATCAAACTGCATCACGAGGTAAGCTCTAACTTGGAATCCTGAAGTGAAGCGGAAAAGAGGAAGGAAAAAGAACACATTACGTCGGGAAATAAAAGCGGATATGAAAAGAATGAATGATAACCGGAAAGAGCTGGAAAGGATCGCACAGGATAGGGTTGGATGGAGAATGCTGGTGGTTGGCCTATACTCCTTCACGAGGAGTAACAGGCGTAAGTTAGTAAGTAAGTGTTCTGTTTATTTTGAAGTATGGAATATTTTCACGTATATATGATTTACGTGAATGAAATATGATGTTTGATTTATTATCATAGACATACTGTTAGTAATAACAATATTGACATAAGTAATCATAGGCAGCGGTAAGCACAATGACTACAGGACTTCTATTGACCTCACTACATGTCTTATGCAACAAATACTCATATTAAACCGTTCTGTATGAAGAAAGAGATAGTGAACAGGTCACTCTATGAATTGGTTGTTGACTACCTATTTCATCAGCTCATTTTTATCTAATCCAGTCCATGAAGTCATGGATTGTTGAATTGAACCATATTGTTAAGTTCAGGTTACATTGTTAGAGTTCGCGGAATAATTACGACCAATGGTTGAAAATATTGTGTTTCATATGTCAGAATCATTCACTATAGGGAAGATGAACTCACTTATTATCTTTTGCCAGATCAGTCAGTGCAGTTTCTACACGAGTCTATTCCGTCTTTTCTAAGCCTATTCTATATTGTTTAGTCTCTCTCACTATCATTCAAACTATTATTATTTCAATTCTTTTGTTATACATTTTGTTAACTGAATATCTCATAGCTGATGTGCTTTGGAAAATAAATTTACATCTTCAGCATGAATCATTTAAGTAAACAAGATCGATTGTATAAATAAAATTAGTCATTCAGTGATTTCATCCATTCTACCTCTGTTACAGGTTGAACGTGATCGTGAAAAGACATTTCATGTTTCATTTAACAACATGCCTCCATGTTCATTACGACTTTGTAATCATAAATGGAAACCCCATCATTGTGAACCAATTCATCAATTTTACAATATAAGTCATGAAGAATATCCATTTTTAGGCAAAAGTATTTCTCCTATTCATTGTCAGGTATGTTGTTTTTTTATGAGTTTATATGAGTTAGGGTTACATATTTTTTCATAGTGCAACAATCTGTAAATAGTTCTGAATCTTTTTTCACACTTGTCGTTTGTTAATTAAGCTTAGATTAGGCTTTCTGATATCATTATTTACTTGTGACAACGGACCATGGGTGAACTCGAAGAAGCTGTAAGAGGCTCAGAAGGAGCCGAAGATATTCCGTCCAATCATCTTTCGGAAGAATATTCTAGAATTCCTACGTGTAGCTTCCCGATTGGACAAGGCTAGATATATCATTACTGTATTATAATTATCAATTAGTCAGTAAGATGGTATTCACTATAGACAGCATAAATCACAGCGAAATGTTAGATTATATTTCCATGATCAACATATATCTTGCCAAAATGTATAAGCCATACTTAGTATTCTCAAATAAATCTAACATAAAGTTGTGATACGGCTTCGGTTGATGGCACCGTGAATATAATGCTAGTACACACTACTCACTATATTCGTCATCATTTTACACAGTTTAGGCATAAACCTTACGTAATTAATTAAGATTTTGCAAACTGGTCAATTCGTATATTCAAGTTGAGAAGACCATTGGAAGCTGATAGTTACCACAATTCTGATTGTTTCTTACATCAAATATGTCATCATTATGTAGCTAAAGATCAGATGTATACATACAGAATATACAGTAAGCCAAATTGTTATAACTGTGGACAAAGATTAGGAATAATAAGTGCAGTGATACACTATCATAACCCTACTACTGTTGGAAATCAGACATATTCGTAAATAAATTAACTTGTGTACAAATCGTCTTCTATGAATAATCAATGGGATTAAAAGTACCCATTAGTATTTTGAATGTAGAAGTAAACCAAAGACTAAGCGTCGAACTGAAATACTCAAGGTCACTTTATGCATTTTACAATTTTGGTATATAGACTAGATGAGATCGTTTCTATATTTTTACGGAAGGTTATCGATTAGGTGAAGTCTATTAAACCGATTGTTCTAATTAGGAGACACTAGATATATCTGTGGATAAACTGTTATGATTGCATATACTGTTGTCATCAAATCATCCGTTACCATACCACTGATATTTCGGCCATTTGTTGCCTGTTTGAAGAATACGATATGTTCTGCTATCGTGTTTTTGCGTTAGAAAATTGTGAAATGAATCGATATTATCATTTGACAAAGGCTGAGTATAACAATTTCTTACAGAAACGAAATTTCATTGTATTTGTAATTTATTGGTTGAATAAATTTGTTTAGTAGTTAAGAGAATAACATAGTACAAAATATTCTCTTTATGTAGTGTGTGTTTTGTTAGTTCCTTGTAATTCTCCACTTTTTACTACTTAAATGAATGCTTCAAGGTTTTCAATGGTGGTCTAACATCAATCGGTTCATGATGTCAATCAAAGACTTAATAATATCCACAACCCTATACTGATAATTACCATGCTCTCACTAGTGACTAGCTTTGTCTGGGAATTTTCGGAGTTCTGGTTAGATGCCGTGACTAGTGGAGCTAATCCGTGTCGGGTAGAGATAGGTGTCTACCTCAGTATAATGGAAGATGGTCACTCAACTTCGTGGATTGGTTGAGGTTAGACATTATTACCATTGGATGCCGGCTCAGTGGTCCAGCAAGTTCAGCGTTCGTGCGGGAAACCAGTTGGTCCTGGGTTCGAATCTCGCAGGGGGCGAGGTCATGGATGCGCACTGCCGAGGAGTCTCACAATAGGACGAAACGGCCGTCCAGTGCTTCTAGGTTTTCCATGGTGGTCTAGCTTCAACTGACTAATGATTTTAATCATTGAAATTACTACAATCTCCACAAAACCCCTTCTGACAATATTAACTTGAATGTTTACGATTTACCGCCTGTTTGTTATAACCTGTGTAAGAAAGATAATCATTTCGAACTTTTGAACCTTGTGAATGCTTAACAATGGTGAATCCTATATCATTTAACATGTACACTTGTGACTTATTTCGATATACTAAAGAATTGCATTCGTTGTCGTTGTGCAGGTTATTACAAAAAAATGCTAGTCCAATATTCATTTATAATTTTCACAAAGATAACTGTTAGTTTGACTTAGTTTACTGATTACCTAGAAATTATTCAAATTTCATTCTTTTCTGATTATATATTTCATTTACCATGACTATATTTTGACTACTTCCCTAGCAATGAAACTTTGTATACAGTTTCTTGTTTTAATTAGGTTACATAAAGATTTTATTTGTTTAGATTGTGGAACTGATTATTTTCTCCACTGTAGCATTATGTTCACTTGTATTCAAGAATAGCTAGACTCTATGAAATGTTAACTCTTATCAATGTTTAACATTAGCAAATGAGATCTATATTTAACTAAGTAATTCACGTAATTGAGAATAAGTGTCTATTCAGCCATATTAGATAGTTATTTTAATCCCTATATATAATAAATCATCATATTTATGGATGGAGAATTGAGATATTAAACCACGGTGAATTTCATGTCTATTATAATATTTAGTAAGATATTTATATATTCCTATGCTTCACTAAGAATCCCCCTAAGATAGGAGGTTTTGAAAGTTATTAAATTTCATAGTTTCTATCATAGAATGATTTGGGTTAGGTAGCTATTGAAAACTTCAAAGCATAGAATTGTAGAGAACAGAACACGGGTGGGGACATTCGAATGTATTCAGGCACATAATTACAGAGCATCTCAATAAAATCTGAGAACCATATATTAAATCGTTAATTTGTAATATATCAATCCATCATATCAAACTGGACTGTTCTTGTTGAAAACATCAATCCATTGTCTCAGATTTCATTGTTCATGCGTTTTCATACCAATTGCATTCCGTTCCCGTTCTTTCCTCATCGACCTTCAAGTGAAATACATTATATACCTAACTAGCGTTATATACTACTTATGTGGATATAAGTAACTTACACCACAGAATAACTGTTTTATTTTAGTAAGGGTTTCACTAGCAATGTCTATTCACGATTCTCTTACAGGGTTCGAACTCATGATTTAGAATAATAACAATTGATTCAAATCTACTTGATTAAGTTTTCACGGAATATATATCTAGATATGAAAGCATATGAATGAAATGCATTTAGTTCATTGTATTCATTTGAACTAGGTTTTATTTGATCATAAAACGTATCAACGTTTCCTTAACAAAATAACACAACATCATTTAAACTGTGGTTTGTTTATACCAATCTATTTCATTCATATTAGTTATCTTATTAATTGTCAACTATATCACATAAAGCGTGAAAATCTATCATATTGTTGCCTAAGGTAACAGGATTAAACAGTAATATTGCATGTTTATTATTGTATTTTGTGAATACTGACAAATATCAATAACAATTCAAAGTAGATTAGTAGTAAATATCGAAGGAGGAAAAAAGAAATTGTAATTAGTTTCATTGTACATAATATTTTGTTACATTTTTATAGATCATGTAGAAAACAATATATGATTAGAAGTTAATAGATAATAAGTAGTAATTGTAGAAACAAAGAGGTGTAAAGCGGTGTAATTTTTAAATTTTGTTGCTATCGTGATCGATTAGTGTACGTTGCTATAATAATAATAATAATAATAATAATAATAATAATAATATAAGTAATCCGTTTTTAACATATAAGTATGTTACCTTACTTGGCTCAATATGCTTCCTATATCATATCGAGTTAACTGTTATAGAGCACAGCATATCATTGAAGCTTGTTAATTATGATGTCATCATAATCATTATGTTATCTGTAGCTGATGTTGTTTAAGTTAGGTATAAAACACATCAACACGGTGTTTGTGATCGGTGAAATACTTTGGAATGATTATTCTTGTCATTTGTAGACAACATGTTACTTCATCACTGATACTACTATTAATAGTAATAACGGTTATATAGAAATGCATCTTATCCACATGAGTTGCTTTATTATTGATCTTAGCTTATTCTTGTGTCTATAAGTGTCATAAGTATCATTTTGAATATACGTTGTTTAGAGGGTGTTAGTTCAGATAATAACATCCTTCCATTTATGGTATTCTTGGTTGTCATCGTTTATACTCATTATTTACTACCTCTAATAAATTATTCAACTAGGTGAACTCTTTGTATTGTGTTCAATAGGATGAACGTCACTTTACCCGGCGGATTTTCGTCGTTAACCTTAAGGTTAACACTGTATAGAGATAATAAATCGGACACCGCTCCAGAAAATGATTTTGTGATTGGCCTTATGTTCACTCTTAGGCCGTTAAGACCAACACTAATATAGTTTCCTTTCCAAGTCTTCTAATAAATAGTATCCTTCCACAGTGTGTTCATTTCTTTTTGAGGTTATAATTGTGTATTGGTCAACATTTCTTACTCCTGCCAAATATATTTTGATTCATTTAAGTAATGATTGTATCTCTATTTATAATAACATCTTATAATTATAATCAAATGTTTTTTTACATAAGACAATGGGAGATATTACTGACAGCGAAAAAAACAGTATCAATTCTAAAACGAAATTTTTCGGCTGTCTGTCATCTAATAACTCAGATAGCCCTGAAATTGTCTCTGACTCCATTCAGTCGATAAATCGAAATGCTTCTCAATTATCTACTACAGATAGAAAAAAGTAAGTGGCGTTTATATTTGTTCACATGTACTGTATCTATTTAATTTTATCTACAACTTTATGAGAATTATAGGAATGGTTAGTTGAATTGCATGGTTGACCAAAATATCAACTCAGTAATGAGTTAATTAGCTATCAATGTGGAATAATAAAATATTTTAAGATTTTCAATTGTTATATGAACTTCTCTGATAGCTTCCTCAGTTTTATAAATTTTGCTCTAAATATTGATTGAGAACACCATTGGTAATCATTAAGATTAGTATATAAACAGTAATACTCTGCAGTGGTTTAAACCATGGTGATCATCCCCATAACTTTCAATCTTAATTTCTAATTCAAAAGGGGACGCAAGTTAGTGCTTATACTATTTTTTTCCCTAAGTATCGATGTAACAACCGAACTGCCAATATTCGGTTTGAAAGCAGAACTAACAAACCAAAATTTATTTCGGTTAGACCAGACTACGTTCTTCGGTATAGCATACGAAGTGTTTTTGAGTTACTCGTATTAAATTATGTCAAAACACAAACTCTGTTCTCAATTTAAACGGTTGTAATTTAGGAAATAGAACAAATTATATCAAAAATACAAAATACCTCAAACGGTACAGCCTGTGCTATACAGTTAAAAGTTTTTCTAACGCAAATTAGCATGTTAAAAAACAAAAGAAACAGTTAGTACAAAAGAGTTCAATACCTGAGAATCAATAAAAATATTCCCAAGAAGATGGGATCAGATATCTATCTGCATGGCTTCCAGTAATCTTCCTAAGCAGATAGTCAAAAGTTAATAGTCACACACTGAACCACGCCGTGACCTTGAGCTTAGTCAAACACGACCTTATTATCAATAGCCTGGCAACATGCAATAGAAATTTAGGTAACAAAAGGTAGGTCTTTAGTCAAAATCACATAATAAAAGCTCAAATAAGAAAGACTGAAGAAAACAAAATGTGATCAAAAAAGATATGAACAAAAGTTAAAATACACGACAAAGTGAAACAAAAAATAAATAACAATACTGTCCAACAAAAATACTGTGAAGGGATTTCCATCGTTCTCGTTCCGTTACCATTGGTGTGATAGTGTTTATCATTAGTTTGGAATCAGTGATCCTTCCTATTTGTCTTACATTCCATTCTTATTTTCATCCTATAATATTTATATAAAAGATTCAGATTAATCGGAGTCAGTGAATAAGTCTTTCCAGTAGGTAGCCATAAATACACTCTGTTACTACTTCATTGTAACAGGGAAAATGAGGATAACACGTACTATATATTGTGTAAGATTATAAAGAAAGGATATATTACTCACCGTCTATGTCTTTAGATGTAATTCTTGAAAATATACCTACTAAGAATGTATTTGTAATTCCAGAATTTATTCTATCCACTATATGAACTTTATATTTGTTTTAATTTAGACCTATATTTCAACCAGTTCTGAAGAGTTGTAATCAATTAAATAAGGGACAATATACTAAAAAGAAGAAACAATCATGGTATAAAATATTTTCATATAAAAAACAAATCATTTCAACAAAACAATCTCATCACAGAGAACACATGATTGGAGCCTCTTTGAAGAAAAGATTATTAAATATAAATGATAAACATAAGTCATCAGTTACTTCATATTCAAGTGATTACCGTACAGATGTTCTACACAAATGTTCACAATGTAAGCTAGTTTTATAACTTATTAAATATCATTATTACTTGAAAAATGACATTAGTTATTTGTTTAAATCTAAATAGATCTGTAAGAGAATAGTTATATACTTCACCACTAATTCATAGTTTCTATATCTGAAACCTATCTGACTTAAATTATAGTAAGCATCTATTTATAATATGACTATCTTTTATACTAACAGTGATCCTTAATACCAAATATATATTAATATATACCTTATTAAACAATTTGCTTTATTTATTATTTAGGGAAAATACCTGAAATTAAATTTAGTTGATCGAAAGTTCTTTCAAAGCTTCTCAGAAAAAGATCTAAAGCAGGATTTATCTAACTAATCAAATATGAAATATGTTACCGATTTTAGTATCTATATAAAGACCTATAAAATGAATTTCTTTACGTATTTCCATCTATTGGTTTCAATAAAGGATCAAGAATTGATGGTTGTCATATTTAAGTTATCTTCTATAAATTCAATATTTGAAGTGTTCAGTGAATAGGTTGTATCAGTCATGAATTGTATCATCAATTCAATATCCTTCATATCGATTCATTTGTCATTTGTAATTTCCCTAAACGATGAATTTTAAAATTTCCCTATCATTATGCTAAATTTAGTGGACGTACGTTTGTTTCTTTAACAAATTGACGAGTACTCGTTTATTAGTTGATGGTCAATATGAAGTGGATGATATTTTCATATTTGTTACCTTTTTCTGCGCTAGATTAGCGTAATGTATGGAATAATATACAAATAAACTATTAAAACTCTTTGATTGTTTCAAAGGAAGTTGTGTAACTGACTTCATACAACATATATTGTAAAACAGTATACTAAATTTTTAGGCTAATGAATTGCAGGAAATAGCCTCCTTTGATGTTGGATAAGTAAATTTAAAAAGAATAACTAAACAGTATAATTTATTCGGTTATCACTTTGAAGTGATGTCTACTTTGATAAGTTAACGTATGAATACTGATATTTGGATTGATTTTTAATAAACGGAATACACCCATTAAGACATTAAATAAGGAAGATTAGTTCAGCGTAAAGAGTTCTCCCCTTTTCGGTGAATTCATTTTCAAAGCTGTACAATCGCAAATAGATATGTACTTATTTTAACAGGATGATAATAATACTGATAATAAACTTCTGTTATACATGGTGACAGGGAGGTTAAATAAACAAAGGTATTTAAAGAAATCTTTTAAAACAAGGAAAGTTTAATAATTGTTTAATTGTAATGGCTCAATAACATGTTCTATAATCTAGCACCTTGTGAACACAGGTCACTTTATCAAGACAGACTGTGAGTTCAAAGTCATCTACAAGATAAGTAGAAGTCTTGCTAAAGCAATTAGACTGCATCTTCTTTGCATTGCCGAAGCAATAGCCATACATCTGGAAAAAAACAGAATTGTGTGTGCAAAAGAGACTGGTACAAATTAAAAGTTTTCTCTCTTTTTCATAGTCTTGTTCCTTTACAGCCATCTGCTTCACCTTCACCTTCATCCTCTAAACCACAACTGGTTTGCTTTTGTTTCCACGATCATTTTGTTTAAATTTCATCTCAATTTCAACATTTTATCTTATCTTGCTGAGCTATCCTTTCCCAATGATAATTTTCCTATTTATCATTTGATGAATACTTAAGGTATTAACAATCAAACGATTAGTAAACTTTCCTTGTTTTGAAATATTTGTTTTAATACCTTTGTTTATCTAACCTCCCTGTCACCATGTATAACAGAAGTTTATTATCAGTATTATTATCATCCTGTTAAAATAAGTACATATCTATTTGCGATTGCACAGCTTTGAAAATGAATTCACCGAAAAGGGGAGAACTCTTTACGCTGAACTAATCTTTCTTATTTAATATTTGGATTGTATTTACAAAACGTAATCTCAGTAACATTTTCAATCATATCTATTTCAAGATATCGAAATTGGCATTCAAATATTAAACATATTTAAATCATATTTTCATTGATTACCGTGTTGTTGGGATCGTTGGTATTGACGAGTTGTGGTGATCACCAAGTATAGATCTACTAATAATGAACTTTAATTCCGTTTAATCATTTTCTGTCAAAAATGAAATACTGATTGCTCAAATAAGAACTCGCCCCCAAATGCCCTTGTATGGCCGAGAGTGAAGAGAGTCCACTCTTCCCTTCGAAACGCTCTCACATGGTCATGCGTATATAGCCTCTGCCAGGGAAATTCTACTCACTGCCTTCTCGCATCACGGGTGTTGTTTACGAAAATGAGAGGAAGAAAAGCGAATGTCCGGCGCTTTAACCGGATCCCAAATCAATGGTGCACATGGGCTCCAGTATCCTGAGTTAACAAATGGCGTATGAACCAATCGTTGGTCACCGGCTACTATTCGACTACATCTCCTTACGATAATCCAATACCTTGTGGATCAGATCTTCACGTCAAAGGCTCTGGGTGTGATCCCCTAAGAAATCCACCTGCTTCTGTTTGGGCACCCGTTCAGTATCACAGCCCTCACATATATCAAATGAGATTTGTGTGGCACATATATATTTGGTGCCTCCTTGTACCAATATCTATGTGTTAAAATAATAAATAAATAAAATAAATAAGAACTCTAATGGATAAATCCGATGATAAATGCATTTTCCATTAATTTATAATGAGATATGTTTGTTTTGATTGTCTTTATTTTTAGCAATCGACAATTCAAAAGACAATGAAAAAGTCCCTGCAAGATTTCATCCTTCTTTTACAGACTGGCTTAAGCATCGAAAATGCAAATTGTCAATCGATAATAATCTATCACCAGATGTGAATATCAAATTTCACTGTCAAACTGGTTCAACTCCAGTATCTAAAATTGACGAACAACTGAATAAAACATCTAATCTTTCAGAAAATAATCTAAATCATAAAGTTCCTAATTTATTTACACGCTATCGATTAACAAAATCTGATTATGTTCATTTAGCTGCTGTACCTTTATTACCCGAGGGTGTTGAAGTAAATTCTAACTTGATTTCACGAAAAGATTTATTATCTTATCAAACACCACTATCTTATTCTTCATTTAATAGTCCCAGAATTCCTTTAACCTCTTTATCAAATAACTCAAATTCAATGATTAATTCTCAAGAGATTTCTGTAAGTAATTTATCAGAAAAAATTCTCAATATCTTCAGTCCTCGTTTAAACAAGTCGTCAAATTTCAAGTAAGTATGATATATATATATATATATATATATATATATATATATATATATATAGTCATTTCATTAAAATATTGGCACGAAATTCACCTGGTATTAATGACTAATATAATATCTTAACTAGAAGTATTTCATTTTCATCTCTCTATCTGTTGTTGTATTTCATAAAATCTCTTCCTAGAAGATAAAGTAAAAGCAACTAGAAAAATGTTAAGATATTGAAGAAAATTCATAGCTTGAAGTAAAGATTTAGATCTAGTAGCGTTCTTCGAGTAAGTCGTTTGAAATATATACAATGATTAGTTTGTTTGTTGATTTAAATCTAAAACTTCCTAATCAAGTATATATTACTGTGCTCAGCATAAAATCATACTGTAACTATACTTATATTACTATTCAGGGTAATTAGATTTAAGTAAAATAGAGTGAGATTTTAAAAACTGCGACTCACTCAACGCTTGGTGATGTAACCACTGAGTGGTTGTCTAATTTTACATATCGAGTATAAATCGTATTGATTAAGGAATATGCTAGCAAACAGAAGAATATGCATAAACTATTTTCACATAATTCATCCAGAGTTTATAAAATTCATCACTTAGTTCACTTACTGACTATCATTAGTGTTCTGGGCATCAAGCAGATTCATCTTGATGTCTCTATTGATTAACTTCTTTGAGGCTTCCATTTTTATTACACTGTCTGCATATATACGCACTGTTAAGGTAGTCCTACTAACTTCCTTCTCACAGCAAGGGTGTTGTCTACGAAATTGTGAGGACGATAAGTGAATGTCCAAAACTGTAGCCCGGTTAGTGTATATCAAGTATCCATCTAAAGCAGTTGGAAAACACTGATTCCAAACTAATGATACACATGAGCTCCATGATCCTGAAGGACCAATCGGTATATGAGTCTTGTTGGCCACCGATTATTATGGTACTGAATCTCCTAACATTGTATTAAGGATTAAACCTGTAGGTCAAAGACTTGGAAAGTGGCCCCCTAAGAAAACCACCTGCGTCTGACTGGGCACCTGAGGTTGTCCCAACGGACACACAAATTGAACGATAGCCATTTTATGTGGCGCATACGTATCCAAAAATATTTCAGTTTTTATGTTAAGAAAGTTCCATCTTTCATTAACCGACACATTCCGTTATGTTTTAGGTAGAAGACAATGATTATAAATCATCTTGATTGTTTGTATGAAAATATTATGTAATTTGACGATGACTTTCACTATAAACTAAGTTTTTTGTTCACTTTATTTCTTACCTACTCTCCTGAGTATGTTCTTTTTGTTCCATTCTTTTAGATCCGATGTTATTACACCAATGAAACCAGCTTCTCATCTCACACAATTATTATCTAGTTCTATTGACAACCCAAATGTTTCTGGCAGAATTGATTTGATACGTACATCTAGTTTACTCGCTCGTAGGCAACAATACATAACACGAATGAAAACTCAAAAAGATTTAAATTTATCTTTACCAGTCCATGATTTGACAAGTTCCAAGTATCAACAAAATCAATTCTCCAAGATATCGTATAATCAATCTATTTTGAAAAATCAACGAGTGAATAGCTTGCCTATTGTAAATAACTATCCAATACATTCTGACAATCATAATAGAACAATACAACTATCATTTCGATCTGAAAAAAATACAAAGTCATTAGATCATTCTAACTTTCCAATGAATTCTTATAAAAATGGAGAACCGTTAAGAGGTTCAAATAAAAATTGTGTTGATAATTCGGTAAGCTAAATGTCTACGAATCGAGGAAATATTTTAAATCCGAAGATAATTTAAATAAGTGAATTTAATTAGTGAAATATGACAATTCAGATAGATTCGAATCCATGATTTATTTTTATCAGAAACTCCTGATCCTGTGTGTTAAAACTTTATGATTTTCTGTGTCACTTATTGCAATTTACTGGATAGACGTATGGCTCAATTTCGCGGACTGAATTTAGACATTTACAAAGTTAGATGCCGGTCGGCTCAGTGGTCTAGACGTTAAGCGTTAGCACGCTAGACCGATAGGTCCCGGGTCCGAAGCTCGTGGGCGAGATGTGCACTGCTGAAGAGTCCCACGACGGTACGAAGCGGCCATCCAGTGGTTCCAGGTTTTCCACGGTGGTCTAGCCTCAATTGATTCGTGATCTCAACTATTAAATCGAAAATTGTTTAAAAACTTTGTTTACCTACTAGCAACAAATAAGTAGTCTAATGTATATAATAAAATATTCATTCATTTTGTTATACCATGTGGAATGAATACCAAGTACTCCAAATTATTTTCTATTAAGCAAAGTTCTTGCCCTAATGATCTACTTTTACTCTAAGTATGAATCAAGTCAAGTTTTCTAGCAGTTAATGACGAACGTGGTCATAATTATCACATGCTTATCCTGTGTACGTCATATACCCCATGATATGGTTAAGCTTCATACGTAACTGTTTTACATTGGAGTGGCTATCGTGAATGTCAATAGATCAGTCCGGTTTGGTATACGATATCTATCACTATGATTGCCGGTTAACTTTTTAATTGGTAATCATTTACGAAAATGAGAGGAAGAAAAATGAATGTCCGGCACTTTAACCGGATCTCAAACTAATGGTGCACATGGGCTCCAGTATCCTGAGTGAACAAATGGCGTGCGAATCAATCATTGGTCACCGGCTACTATTCGACTGCATCTCTTTACGATACTCCAATACCTTGTGGATCGGACCTTCAGGTCGAAGGCTCTGGGTGTGATCCCCTAAGAAATCCACCTGCTTCTGTTTGGGCACCCGTTCAGTATCACAGCCCTCACACATATCAAATGAGATTTGTGTGCCACATATATATTTGGTGCCTCCTTGTACCAATATCTATGTGTAAAAATAAATAAATAATGAATAAAACTATCACTAAACCAAAGTCAAGTAAGGTTTGCTATCGATCACCCTTATGTAGTGTTATGTTGGTATCATTTGTTCATTTATTCATTTTTGATGATCTACATACGTGATAGGCCAATTAAACATGGTTACAATATTACATTCTACATCTATCCTAATCATAATATTATGTTTTTATTTTGTTTTCAGTCTTTTATTTTAGTTCAAAATAATGAAAAACATCAATCAGTTCATAAATCTAATTCTTTACTACAAGGAACAATCGTTTCAGGATATTCTCAATCAAAATGTATTGATAATGTAGAAATGAGACAAGCCTTACTTTCTCAAAGTTATGAAAATCCTCATTTAATGGAACATGAACCAAAACTTGAAAATATTTTGCCAATCTCTAAACAATCCATTGGTATACAATGTTCTGTTGAAGAATTGCACTGTGATGCAAGTGTACAAACTGAGATACATAATCTACAAAATTTAGATTTCAGGTAATCTATTTAATCAAAATATGCACAAATATCTATTTCTTTTAAATATTTATTCATCTATTTTTAGTTCTATCCATAGTACACTTGGTAATATTGTTTATATGGAATTTATTAATGTGTCATTTAACTAGTCTCTACATGATTAAAACTGATGTAATTTTCAGTGTTGGGGTTGTGGAGATTATTAAGTTTTTTTGTTGAGATCATGAACCAATTGATGTTAAACCACCGTTGGAAACCTAGAAGCACTGGACAACCGTTTCATCACAGTATGGGACTCCTCAGCAGTGCGCATCCACGATCCTGCTCGCGAGATTCGAACCCAGGGCCTTCAGTCTCGCGCGCGAACGCTTAACCTATTGGACCACTGAGCCAGCATCCAGTGATGTTAGTGTCTAGCATCAACCAATCCACGAAATTGCGCGACAATCTTCAATTGTACTGTGATAGATACCTGTCTCTACCCGACACGATATCAGGACAATTAGGGGGTTTTATGGATATTATAGTAATTTCAATGGTTGAGATCATGAGTCAGTTAGAACCTAGCGGATGGGGGGCGGGATCGTGGATGCGCACTGTTGAGGAGTCCCACTATAGGAAGAAACGGCCGTCCAGTGCTCCCAAATTTTCAATGGTAGTCTAGCTTCAAATGATTCATGATCTCAACTATTGAAATTAGTTCTTTATCGAATTCATTATGAAGTTAGGGATTTACTCTAGAAAAATTTTAATTCATCTAAACTTATGAAGTCCATGTAATCATCGAATGTTTTACTGAATTGTATTAATAAGTGCAAACTACCTGATTGAGATTCATATGGCAACCTCGGTTAATGGACTAATCTTACCAATGATTATTCATGTCATTAAAAACTAATATATCATATTGAAATTCATTTTAACATTTTACAATTTGGTTTAGTTTTCTAGAGATTAATTTTGCTTTATACAAATTAATCACAAAGATGCAAGTAGTTATATGCTCACTAAGAGCTTACTGAATTCTGTTGATGAATTTGTAATATAATCAACAGACTAGATGACATCACATTAAAATATACTTTATTATTATGTTAAGTGATCAACATGAAAAGTTTGATCGGGATCCCTATTAATCTATATTTAGGTTCATCTTTATCTTTAAAAGGATTGATGATTCCGGTGGTATTCAAGCCAACATCTTTCCCAATACTACAATTATTCTATTTATTTTTAGATACAACTGAGTTTCAAGTGAACTGATATCTTTACTCAATACTTATAAACATTACCATTATAGAAAATTTGATTTCCTTTGATGATGTGTATTTGGGTATCAAGAATGTGAACAGGTGATAATTTTCTCTGGCTTTGTGATGTATCTTTATAACTGACAGAGACTATAATTTATGGATGACATTTGAACGACGTTAAAGTGAACTTGAGAGTGAACAACTAATAATTAGGACTAAATGAGAGTTATAAAGCAGTTAGAATTCTCATTTACAGTTGATGATTAGGGTTAAAAATTAGATTTAGGGTTTTCATCCCGAACTGACATCATCTATAATGCCAAAACTCTATTTAACCAAATGGATGGATGAATATCTGATTGACTCGTCCATAAATTAGAGTTTCTTGTTTTTGTAGGAAAACAAGTATAGATCTTATAAGATCAAAGTAATGAGTAACGTTGTAGTTACTGAAGTAAGTCATAATTGATGAAAATATTTATCATAACTGTTGTGTATGTATCTAATTGTTAATTTATTTTACTAGAATTTCAGAGTCCGATAGAATTATGGAGAATCAACAATCATTGTCTAATTATAACACTGTTTTATTAAATCCTGAAATGGAGCAAACACTGCCAGATGATTTTTTCAGTTTGCCACGTCCATTTTCTTCTGTCAGTTTACGTACGTTAAAAGCAACGATATTAGTATTAATAAAATGATATTATTATCCTTTATTTCTTTAAATGTTATATTTCCCTTTATTATTTTATGTGACCTACTCACGTATAAAATAAGGAGTGAAATAGTGGATAATATATTGACAAATCATGTATATGCCCAAGTTCCGTGGTAATTTGAAGTTTATTCACATAATGGACTACCTTTTGGTAGAAACCATACTAGTGGGTACCTACGACCCTCTAGGTATCGGGCGCAGCAAGATTAGGATAGCGATGAGGTTATTAACTTTAGTTTGCTGCTACACATTTTCAAGTTAATCCATTTTCTACTAAATCAACAACCACTTTTGTTTATTATATATTCAGAAATCTGTGTTGCAAATATTTTCGGTTTTCTATGACGTTATTTCATACGGTAGTTAGTATTTTAATGAATTCCTCTTGCAACTAACGATTTATCTAGTTGTACTGGTTATTGTATAACTTTGAAAGATTAGAAACTCCGCCCGTAGCCTCTCCGTGGGCTCCTGCTGGTCTCAAGACCGGATAAAGAAGGAGGGTTGCGCATGGGGTTAGCGACCCATCCCGTAGAACAGTAACTCGCTAAAAAAACGCTAACCAGAAAAAATTGTTCAAACCATTCAAACTCTTCCCTGAGAATCAGAATGTTATGACGCCTCATGATTTAAGCCGAGTTCCTTCGGAAGTCACGAGGTCGATGCCTCTTCTGACAACCAGAGCCACCATTTATTTAAGTACATAGAGTGCTCGTACAATATGAGAGACCGAGAGAGTCTTCCAAATTGCTGCATTCATATAAACTGTGTTATCATTACGTAACAATTTACATTCAAATGTTCAGATTTAAGGTGACTAAATAACACTTTAAATTTTCAAGAATTCACGAGAGAAATATATTAAAATCGTAGTCTAGCTTGAGCCACTCTGTAGTATCAAGTATATTATTCAGAAATATCCATCATGTTGACACTAACCATATGCTCACTAGCCACTTATTTCCAGATTTCTTTTAAGAAGTTAAAACTAGGGCAGCTTTGTTTTACTATCAGTAAAGCACATACAAACTGATAGCGTTGAAAATTGGCTGCATGGTAACCAGAAAATTGATTAATATTAGACTGATTAACGATTGACTGCCATGTTACTAGACTAAAATTAAAGCATATAGAGAGAAACCTTAAAGTCCTTAGTGGGATAGCGGTTGCATACTACAAACCAATTTGATAATTAAAACTATATATCTATTCAATGCATCTTGATCTTCATTGACCATCCAATTAAGATCGATCTAAAGTATAAGTTATAATAATAATCAATAATCTACTTAACCTCTCTTTATAAACAATCGATATCAACCAATTCTTTGTGTGTGTGTGTGTGTGTATGATGATAACCAATATCCAGTTTATATAATCCTATGATTCAAACATTATTTATTGGTATTCAACAATTAGAATTAGAATTATTTCTAAATGAAATTTATCATCTACTTATATTCACGGTAGAATGATTAAATTTTAATAATGAATAAGATAATACCTTTATTTTGATTGAATAGTAATTAAGTAAGATTGACAAATTTATATAATCTGATATTAAGTTGATTATCTTATTCAAATCTAACACAATATACTTGAAACGTGAAAAAAAAACATTAGTGAATTAGACTATAGAACTAGATAATAAATATAAATTGATTTTATCTTAAGTATAAGGATAGAAAATGATCAAACTGAAAATATTAAACTTAAGGATAAGAATGATTGAATTGTAGTTATTTATATTCAAGATACAGCTGTACTTGAATTGTTATACTATATCTTACTTACTTCTTTACACCTGTTATTCCTCGTGAAAGAGCATAGGTCATCAAACAACATTCTTCATTAAACCTTGACTACGGCAATCTTTTTCAGCACTTTTCAGTTGTTATTTGTTCAGTTCATGTCTGCTTGAAAATCTCAATTCTTTAGCCTTCCTTTTTTCCGCTTCGTTTCAGGATTATAAATTAGAGCTTACCTCGTGATGCAGTTTGATGATTTGTGTAATGTATGTCATATCCACTTCCAAATCTGGAAACTGGTTTGTTCTCTCCCACAAAAACCTGTTGTTGGTAGTATCCGGCTAATGGATGTTGAGTATCCTGCGTAGACAGCTATTGATAAATACCTGTACCTTCTTGATGATGGTTGTTGTAGTTCTCCAAGTTTCAGCTCCGTAAAGTAGAACTGCTTTGACGTTCGTATTGAAGATTCTGACTTTGATATTGGAGTCAGATCCACGGGCCACTAAAGTAGATAGCCCTTCAACGAACATTGTCCGATCTAAATGACGACAAAATAAAGGGCCTCACAATTTTGTATATGTTTAAGTTCTTCATCATAGAACGAATCAATTACCAAGTAATATATATGTATATAATAATTTCTAATCTTTCTATAAACTATCTAATTGTTCTTTTTTTTTTTTGTTGCTAGATATTGAAAATTCATTTAAAACTTTATCACCTACTACATTAACTAAACAAATATCTACTTCAATGATAGAAATGAATGATTTTAATCAATTTAAAAAATCAATAAATCAAAAACTTTATAAATCAATAAGTGATCCATTTATTCCTAATAATTTTATTAATCATCATTTGATAAATAATAGTAGTATATCTTCTTATAAAATATATCATTTAAAACAATTACCGAAATTATCATTGATTATTGATAATTCTAATAGAAATTCATTATATAAAATGAAATCAGATGATGAATATTATAATTTTATTAATATACCATTAATAAGTACTATACCAAGTGATAATTTATCATACAATTCATCGAATCAATATTATAATAAATCAATAATCAATAATAATAATAATAATAGTAATAATAATAATAAATACTCGAATCATTTATCATTAATCAATAAAGTTTCATTACATAATTCAAAAAGAAAACCTTTCACTGAAATTCAATTCATTAATCATTAATCGATATAATTACCTATTGAAGTAAGATTATTGTTTTTATAATGATTGTATTGTTTTTTTTTTCTAATCATGTGGTATGGCAACTCGAACCGATGTAAGTAGATGTACGAAGATCTACGTTGTTACTGACTGACTGACTGACTGACTGAATAATTCTATCTTATTTGAAGTGATTTAGGTGAAAATGATAAATAAATAGAAACTATGATTATTCATTATCATCTCTTAAATATATTGATACAACTGAGGGTGAGAAGAGTCAGTTCGGCGAGACTTTAATTTATGGATGAGTCAATCAGAAGTGTTTGAGAGATTTCAAGGTTACAGCGTCAACTTTAGTGCTTAATTCTAACGTACGATGGGATTTTGTAAAAAAAAAAAACGTGATAATTTAGCGGCTATAACAAATAAAACGGTGAGACTGTGATTTGTGAACGTACCAATCAGGTATCAGATAACAGATCTCGGATTTTGACGTGAAAGTCTTTCATCCGTTTGGCTAAGTAAATTTCTAGCATTATAGCTGATGTCAGTTCGTGATGAAAACCCTATATATCATTCCTAACTAAGGCAAATTATGACAATTATCGCTAACTGGATAATAAAATCACTAGTAACACTGGCTGCAGCCAGGTACTACAATATATACGTAAGTTTGGAGAGCGTACAGACTCCTACATAGGCTTGGTTATGTGCATTGTGCCATTATCCACATGTAGCATTTTGTGTACTCAACAACTGAAGTGCACATAAACTACTGAATCTACGTGGTCGAGGTTGAAAGAGTTTTTAAGACTTTATCATGGCTCTGGAGGCCGACTATTCTGTAGCCTTATGGATAATTTCCTCTACTGCATGGCATTACGATTTTAGAACTGTTTGCTGATTGACTGATATTCTCAAGGTCAATTACTACTCGTTCAAAGGTTGTCCATAAATCAGTCTCGCCATCAGTTCTTCTTCACAAAATACTCTTATATGGTCACAGGTGTATAACCACTAACAGGGAAGTCCTACTTATTGCATTCTACAATAGAGGTGTTATATACGAAATAGAGAACAAAGATGGAATTTCGAAAATTTAACCATGTTGGTAGACACGAAACGTCCACCTAGTGTAATTGGAAAACTCTGATTCCAAACCAATCATGAACGTGGGTTGAAAGAACCCTAAGGTAATAAATGGCGTATGAACCAATTATTGATAACGGCTACCATGTGACCGCAACTCCTTACGTTGCTCTACTGCATTGTGGATCAGAAGTTTAGGTCGAAGGCTCTAGGTGTGACCCCTTAAGAAAAGCTACCTAATTTGGTTTGACCACCCAAGCAATATTACAGCCCACACACAATTCAAGTAACTTGTATAGTGTATATGTATTCAAATAAATAAATAAATAAATAAATAAATACAGAGCAGATAACGGTAGAGAATGAGATTTATATTTATGATAATTAAGAAATGAAAGAATATTAGTCAACATAAGAGTCACTTATATGCTTAATCAAAAAATTTGTAAATTAGAAAACATCCTATATGGTTGTTAGTCAGTATGGTATAAAATGTTACACTTCTGATTTGACGATATAGTTATCCTATTAGTCATATTACTCTTCCTTTAGTAAATTTGTTAAAAATTACTCGGTAGTTTTTATTAGGAATTCAGACTGGTTTATAGGAAAACCCCAACCTAAGTTTCGTGTTTTTTGTGTTTGTTCGCTAACTGTACTTACAAATACATGCCCACCCAATTTCACCGTCACAGACCCTACCACTGAGCTTTCCGGGTCACAAATGATCTTCTGTAGGACTGTTATTTATTTATAATTGATTGATCACTGAGTAGTGACCAGTGTAATGTAGTCAATCCTTTTGAATGCTAATTTTATTCCACCAATTAAAAAGATATGAATAGATCAGGGGTGATGTCTTTGACCGTAAAGCAGTGTAATATGAAGTCGAATTCCCCAGGGAGTACCAGTTCGATTAAGATCGCTGGCACAGTTTACTGACAAGTGGCAAACTGCGTGAAATCTCGTTCCGAGGCTTACTATAGACTACTTCCAATCCCATTGGATTTCAACATCGTGTACATTATGTTGACTTAATTAGAATAGTTGGACACATTACAACTTGATTGACAGAATTTGATGGTTGGAAGGAAGGATTTTACGTACATGACATCAATTTTTAAATAATAATAATGATTAAAGTCGTGATTCTTGACAGTCATGGACCAGACTTTGTTCTGTGATATGCCTGTAGCTCAGTAAAATATAAGGTACTTGAAATTTATAATAATAGTTTTTATTGTTGGTTTGTTTTTTTTATCAACACAGCTATCTTTGTATGATCACACTAATCCACTCGGTCATGTATAAATGTTTATTATCAATAAAATAATGATATACTGTTTTCTATCTGGTTCGGTTTTTCAGAAGCAGCATCGTTTCTGACGTTCAACCTATAATATTTACAATTGTAAATCAATTATCTATTAAATTCTTAATAATTCACAAAATTATCATCGGTAAATTAAGGATTGTTGGGTTAGTTAATATTATTTCTCAATATTAAATCAAATCGGTACAAACATAATCTGGTTAATATCAGAAGGGGTTTTGTAGAAATTATAGTAATTTTAATAGTTGAGATCATGAGTCAATTGAAGCTAAAACATCATGGAAAACGTGAATGCACTAGATGGCCGATTCGTCCTACTGTCGAACTCCTCAGTAGTGAGATAGTAACTCACTGAAGACAGTGGTGAATTTGTCGCTCGATTTCATGGATTAGTTGAAGTTAGACATTAACACCGTTGGATGCCGGCCGGTTCAATGGTCTAGAGATTAAGCGATCGCGCTCGAAACTGAAAAGTCCTGATTTCGAATCCCGCAAGCCGAATCGTGGATGTGCATTGGTGAGTAGTCCCGCAGTAAGACGAAATGGCAATCCAGTGCTTCCAGATTTTTCATGGTGGTTTAGCTTCAATTAACGCATGATCTCAACTATTAAACTTAACTGTTTAGTTGATTACAGCTGAAATAGTTTACTATTCATTGTCTGTCTTCCAGGTATAGCTCAAAATAAACTTTACCTTTAAAGAATAAATTTTTCATGTGTTTGGATAACGCGTGAAATATTGATTTGTAAAATATTCATTAAAAGGTTTGTTAATTTACTGTAATTCTTATAAATTAACGAAGGTTTATTCCCACATATTTTGCTGTATTCATTTGTTTAAAACCATCAGAATGGTATATGAAATTTATCAGTCATATGATGGTTAGTGTTTTTTTAGAAATTTAGTTTAGACTAGGTATTTAGTTTCCATTATATCCAGTACACTTAGGAGCTACGCGTTAACAACATCAGTTAACTTGGAAGTCTGATCAGCCATAATGGGTTGGTGTCTGACAAAATCTCTGCACGAATTCGAAAAGCTGGGTTGGCTTTCACATATTCACGTCACCTATTGTGAAGGCGAGATATCCGTCTATCAATTAATGGAAGAATGTACTGCGCAGCAGTTCGTTCTGTTCTATTTACAGCTGCGAAACATGGTCATTAAGGGTAGGAGATACTCGTAAGTTACTAGTATTTGACCACTGATGTATTAGAAATATTGCTCGGGTAAGTAATAGTGAGGTTAGACTCAGAGTATTAGGGAATGATGGTTAATCAGTGCACGAGGTTGTAAATCTTCATCGACTGAGATGGTTGGGCCACGTGTTGGCATGCCTGACCTCCGAATACCACGTCGAGTAATGCTAACTGTTGTTGGGGATGGTTGGAAGAAAGTTAAGGACGGCCAAACCAAAAATGTGGCATCAGTCATTGAAGTCACTAACTTCTAATCCTAGACATGTTGGTAGATGCAGGCTACTTGGTTGGGGTCAGCGTGACTATCCTAACCAATGGTTAGAGACTCTGAGTGACATGACACAGAATCGACCACAATAACGTAGTTGTATACACTATCTGTCTTTCCTTCATATATTACTACCACTAAATTAATTGCTTTTATGAATCCCGTGTTGATCTTGTTGTGCGAATGAGGTATGGTAACTTGGACCGATGTGTATATGTGCCCGGTACTACATTATAGCTAGCTGACTGACTGACAGGCATTTCGTACACTTAAAAGTCAAATAAACGAAGATGTAAATTTTAAAAACGATACTTTTTTTAGATTTCCTGCTGGTTTACAGTACGAACCAGTTAGTTATATGAGGGAATAGGTTTGTCTAAAAATTTTTCTATAAATTGATAATTATCTTGAAGTTATTACCTAACACAGTGGTTGTCCATCATTATAAATTGTTTTATTAGTGTATGTACCATCTTTAATAAAATTTCTACCAGGCATACGTTATAGTGTGTTAACTATGTACTTTGATGCCTTATTATTATCTTGTGCATCATCTTTTACCTAAAAAATAAGATGATCTTTGTTGTCGATCTGGAAATACTTTTAACACTATCAAGTGCCTGGAGATAGAAACAATCCTCGTTTGTTATCCCTTTGAACAACTGTTAGAATTCCTTTTAGAGTGCTGTAATTCGAAATGTATAAAACAATCTCAATCTCTTCAGTACAATTAGAACGCTTGTCTAATGTGTTAAATATGTCTAACTACTGCCTACCTCGAATAGCGATGCTTGCCAGTGAAGAAGTAGGTTAAAATAAAGCTATGGGTAGCCGAATCAAAGTGAGGAATCAGTCGTCGAAATCACTGACTATCTGTGTAAACTATGTTGATAGATGCAACTTGCATGGTTAGTATGTGTATGATAACCTCAATTAGTGATTGGTGACTTAGGGTGACATGGCTCATAAACATCCATATTAGCCCAAATGCAGTTTTCCGGTGTGTTTCTCTAGACCATAATTTCTAGTATCTCTTCGTATATCCTTGCAATAAGTCAAAGGTAATGATCAAATACCGAATGTATACAGAACACTTAGTTTATTTTTTAGAAGATTTTGAATGTATTT